TACCCACACCCCAATGCCAGCCTCATTCTACAACAGTGGCACCATATAGCATTTGTCCCTTTGTGACTGAGATACCTCACTCAGCATAATGTCCTCCAGGTTCACCCATTTTGAATAATATTGCATGAGTTCCTTGTTTTTCAATGCAGCATGCGAATATACCACAGCCATATTTTTAATCAGTGACTATGCTTTCAGAAATAGTGACAGTACACTATGTCAAGACTAATCACTGATCTAAAAATTCTATTTTTTAAGTCTCTGGGCCATAGTATTTCTGATTTCTTCCTATGCATCTGACAGCTGGACAATGAATAAGGATGACAGAAGAAGAATCAACACCTTTGAGCAGTGGTGCTGGAGAAGAGCACTGAACATCCCATGGACAGCCAAGAGAACAAACAGATATGTCTTGGAGAGGGTGTAGCTGGAGTGCTCTTCGGAGGCAAGAATGATGAGGCTTTGCCTCACATACTTAGGTCATGTTGCTAGGAAAGTCTATTCCTTGGAGAAGGACACAATACTGGGAAGGGTGGAGAGTTGGCAAAGAAGAGGAGGACTCTAAACCAGGTAGACTTGACACAGTGATTGCAGCAATGGGCTCTTGTGTGTCAGAAAGTGTGAGGATAGAACAGGGTTCAGAGGTTTTGTTCATAGTTCACTATGAGTCATATTTGACTTGATGGCACCTAACAACACAATTTCAAGACAGTCATCTCATTCAAGCCTATTCCTGATACAGTTCCCCAGTTATTAAATCAAACAGTAATGCTGACCTCACATGCTCATCAACAGAAAAAACAGAGGGGGTAAATATATTTTTTAAAGTCCATGTGTATTATGAGAGGTTTTTCTAAATCTAAGCACCTCACTCGTACTTGAAACAAGCACGTTTTGGTTTTCTATTGCATACTGTAAATTGGAAGCAGGAATGGCATCCACTTCTGTAACAGCTTGCCTCTGGAAACCCTATGAACCTGGAAAGAGGATGAAAGGCACCCAAGCGTCGAGGACTCTCCTTCATAGGGTCGTGAGTCGCCTGCGACTCGATGGCACTTAACAACAACAACAACAACATTGCCTATTACAGGGAGCTCTGGTGGCCTAGTGGCAAAAAGCTGAGCTGCAATCCCTAAGGCATGTTATTTGAAGCCATCAGGTGTTCTGTGGGTGGGAGGTCAGCTATGGGGCAGTTCTGACTATGGTACACAACAACTACATTATTACATCTTTCAAAATGAAGTTTACTTTCATGTAACAATTAATCTAAATATGTGTCAGAGTTTACCAGATTTTGTTTAAGCAAAATATACAACTATGGCAGTTTGTCATTATCACTAGTTACAGCAGAAATAATTCCTTCTAAAACTAGAGCTTATTTACAAAACACTAAAGTCCTAAAAAGGCACAGGGTTCAAATTCACCAGCAGCTCTACTGGAGAAAGATGAATAACCCTTCTATTGTTATTTGGTCTCTAAAAACTTACTGGAGGGTATGATTCCAACTGATGACACATTAACAGCAGCAACAATGCTCCAGAACTTAGGTGATAAAAACCGAGTTCCAAAAAATAACCACACAGGTTCTAAAGATTAAAGGACTTGACAACATGATCCTTTTAAAAGAAAAATGGAACATTTTGTATAATGAACTTTTTCTGATCTCTGCTTTATGGTCCAATCTATTATTATTATTCCAAAGTAAACTAATAGCATTAATTCAAATTTTTAACTCCATAACTCATCATACATACTAAATGTACCAAACTCATAAATTGCTCAGACCTTCTAAGGATGAACTTCCAATGGAACCTATATTATAGCATATTAAGAAAGTCATGATTATAAAGATTGGAGACAAAAAGATAAAGGAAAGAAGTCTGCCCCACAAGTCATGCACAAGCTAATTCAGGAGGTAAATGTATAAACAAAAACTAAACAGGTTCTACAAAAGTGTAGTGACAGCACAAATAAGAAATGAACTGTCATGGACAAAGTTCTCTTGGTACACATTATGTCCAAAATGGAATGTAAAGGGCAATAATGAATTAGTAAGGGGTCAGGTAAAATAACCGGTAACCATTGGGAATAAGATAACAATGTGCAAAGATAAAGAGGTGTGAATTAGGGAAACAGTATAATAGAGTGATTTAAGAAGGGTTTATCTGGTTAAAAGGACATTGGTTTAATTCCCTCTCTATTTGCTAGATTAAGATGCTGGATGAGTTATTCATATGTCTACTTCTGAGGCTGTGAAATGGATATAATATTAAACCCTTTATCTCAAGGAAACATGAGGTCTCTCTCTACAGACTGGTTACTCCTGAAAATATGTCCAAAATGACTGAAACAAAGTTTTACCATCTTTGCCTCCAAGGAGCACTTTGGTTGCACTTTCTTTAAGGCAGATTTGTTTCTTCTTTCAGCAATTCATGGCCTATTCATTACTTCACTAATACTACAATTCACAGGCATCAATTCTTCTATCATCCTTATTCATTACCCAATTTTCAGATATATAGTATGCAACTAAAAATACTATGGCTTGGATCAGTTGATCTTAGTCTTATTAAATCAGCCTCCTTGCTCTTCAGAACTTATGAGAAGTCTGTGACAGTAGATTTATTCAATATAACACCTACTTCGATTTCTTGTTTACGCTACCATGAGTGTTGATTCTGGATCCAAGTAAAATGAAATTGTTGACAACTTCAATCTTTTTTTAAGGATGGTGAAACTTCATCTCACTTTGGGCATATTTTCAGAAGGAATCAGTCCTTGTGGAGACACATCATGCTGGGAAATAAAGACTTGGTGAAAGAGAGAGAGGAAGAGCCTCATGGACACCGTTACTAGAACAAGGGTCTCGAGCAGGACAGAGTAAGATGGCTCAAGCTAGGGCAAGGTTCATATCCAATGTTCACAGGGTTGCTGAGTTATAGTTGACTTGGTGGTACCTAACAGCAACAACATCTCTCAGAGCACATCCGGAGGAGTAAAAAGTGCTACAGAATGAATGACATCCCCTCCCCCCCCACCAAAAAAAAAAAAATACATGTCAAAAATTCTAACCTCTACACCTGTGAATGTAATTCTATTTGAGAGAAAATATTCTGGGTTATATTAATCAGGTCACCTACGTGTAAGGTGTCTTTTAAGCAAGTCATTTGTAAAATATGTAAAGATTAAATGTAGAAGCAAGAACAAAAGGGAATAACAGAAGCCAGACAGAGGTCTCCCAAAAGAGCTGAAAATAACAATAAAGAAGCCAAATGGGTGATTTTCACCTAGAATGGACAAATGATGCCTTCTCCCAGAACCCTGAATACAGACTTTAAGTGTCCTAAACTTGCTGTTTGGTGTGGTATTTTTTTGTTTGTTTTTTTCTTTTTTTAATAATTCAATCTCTGTTCATTCAAGCTAACCAATTGTACTTCTGTTGGAACAAAGACAAAGACTAAATATACAAAATACTTGGAATAGTCTTTAACATTGCTGTTCTCAGTAAACATTGGCTACTATTACTAGATTTCAGGAAAAGTGCTCAGGAAATTCAACATGGAACATGAGGTCTATTAAGAGAAACAAAGTCCAGATGATGAAAGTTCTTGAACAAGTTCAGAAATGAGGAAATGCTCAAGAATCGTCTGCCAACGACTAACAAGATTTGCACTTATAGAAACAAAAGATAGGGAGAACAGGAAGAGTGAGCTATGATTAAGATCTGAAGCCAGAAGACCTGATAAAGAGGCTGTTGTTATGTACTATCAGAACCTACCCAACAGTGACCCAACAGTGGTTTTACAGAGACAGTAAATTGTACAGAAGGAGACTGACCAATTTTCTCCTGTAAAGCAGCTGGTGAAATTTAACTAAGTACAAAAAATGGTGCTGGGAAGAATGAAGGGTCAGCCAAGAAGAGGAAGACCCTCAACTAGGTGGTCTGACACAGTGACTGCTCCAACAGGCTCTTGTGTGCCACGAAGTATGAGGATGGCATAGATATTTTGTTCATTGGTTTGCTACGAGTCGTACTCGACTTGACACCACCTAACAATAAGCCATCAGAGCTCCCTGTAAAAGAGCCCACTACTTGAATATTTCAAGGAAAATGTCAAGAGGCAGAGAAACGCTAAATCACATTCCATCCTAAATCATTTACTGCAACTATATAACCTTTTATGAGTTTGCTATATAGAATCTTAAATACTTTATCAACAACTTCTAGACAAATGCAAGATTACTGATGTCTCCTACTCTTGGATCATATGAGTAAAGTGTCCTTATTATAACTAACAACAAAGTAACATTTAACTTTACAGTCTAATTCCTCAAACCTCATCCTTTAATTCTTTATCTACCCGTTTAAACATTTTAATTCTACCTGAGGGAAACAAGATTACAAAAATTTCTCTAAAAGCATTAAGAAAAATTGAGAGAAAGAAAAAAATTAGTTTTAAGAAATCATAAAACGTGAAATTAATCTTTTTCATTTTCATTTCTCATCAAAAGATACAAACATGGTAAGGATTTCCTTTACTTAACCTAGTAGATCAATGAAATAGTTTCACAGACAAGAATTTAATCATTTTTAAGCTATTCTTTTTAATACTCTTAATTTTAAGAAACTACCTTGCTTAACATTTCAAATCAACCTGTGGCAAGACTGACTGTATCAAAAGACACTTTATCTTACTATGCAAAATTTCTTTCTCCCTTTATATGATAGTAGGTCCAAGGAAATGAAAGGGCAATAATGCGATTAAAGAGGGAAACGTCTATTAACAGTCTCAATGTATAGTAATAATATTGCTTTTATATGTGTACTTCCTAGGAGTGATAAAGATTACGGAAGAAGAACTAAAAATCAAGAAACTCTCAACCATTAATGCAATTATAAATTTTCTTTCAATGTCTGTTCTCATGTAAGTGAAATTGAGCTCTTGAGTCAATATAATATTTACTTAAAAAGTATTAGATAGAAGGGAGCTCTGGGGGCCTAGTGGCAAGTAGCTGCACTGCAATCCTGAAGGTACATGGTTCGAATCCACCAGATGCTCCGCTGGAGAAGGAGGGGCAGTCTCCTCTGTGCCAGTCGGATCGGATTCAACAGTGTACATGCGCGCGCGCACACACATAGATAAGAATTAAAAAAATGTTATTCATCTGAGTAGAAGTACAGACCTTTTCGGTCTCTTTCCCTATTTAAGGAAGATCAAAGAGTTTCCTAAATTTAGATGTTTTGAATTTCTACGTACATCTCTTAATACACTAATATACACTAACTAGATGGTCAGCACTAGTAATTCATATATTAATTTACAAACAACTATGTATAAAAGAGATCTATAAGGACTCAGTTCACAGAAAAGAGCCAACATTGTAACTACTTATTAATAGCCTACTGGCAAGCATCAATTGTATGTATCTGAAATTCAAATTACTGCTGTAAGTATGAGGGTAAAGTAAAAAAGAGCTCCAAGCAAGGAGAAAAATAGTTTTTATTCTGTCTTCATATTATAAAAGACAACTTTTATCTTTGATTTCCTTCCCCTGGCCCAAATAAACTGCTGTTGTTGTTGTTAGGTGCCGTCAAGTCGTAGACGACTCATAGAGACCCTA